TTTCCAACCAAAATCAGGGTTCATTCAAAACAAAAAAGCCATTTAAAGGGTTAAAAAAATAACAATAATAAAAAATAATCATAATATTTTGTATCAATATTTAGAGCAGAAGTAGCTGAAAAAAATGAGCCCAAAGAAAGATGAATATAATAATGAACAAAGAAAATGTGCATCGAATTTGGAAATACATATATTGTATGCGCTTAATGGTACAAACATGACACTACAATAAATCTATCAATGCATACAAACTAATGTTGGTGCCAATTATTAACCTTTACCAGACTGCAAGAAAACACCACAAAATGTCCTGCTTTATAATATCGGAAAAGTATCATAAAAATATCAATAATCAGTATAATTTTTACCAACACAAAATGTGGTCTTTTTTATAAGAAATGGCATTTAAAGAGTTAATTTTTTTTTTTTTTAATTATCAGAATAGTTTATACCAAAATGTAGAGCAGAAGTGTCTGAAATGAAGTAAAAAAGTTAAATAAAATAATGAACAAAAAGAAGGGTGTGTTCCAGCTACAGGGGAATCACACTCCTCAGTCTCCCCATTACGGTCTATTCCAGGGTACAGGAGAGGAGAATCCGACTGATAGTCGAACCTTGAATTCAGGAGGAGCAGTATGGTTTTTGTCCCAGCCACGGGTCACTGGACCAGCTCTATACTCTTCATTGGGAGCGTGAGAGTTCATGGGAGGTTATAGGAGGTTATTTGCATTTATAGTTTATTCAAACACTAAAGATTAACCCCACAATAAAAATATACAACAATAAAATTACCAAGACATAATACAATTAGTGCTGTCATGCGATAAAAAAAATTGAGAGATTAATTAATTATGATCTGTAATTAATTAATCTAATTAATCTCATTTTAATCTCACCTAAAAATTGCTGAGAAAAGCCTTCAATTTGAGGTATTTTCATTTGAATTCATTATTACATTATTGTGGCAGATCAAAAGACTAATATAGATTTAAAAAAGTGACTTTATAAAGTCATTTATTGTTTAACAAATCTCTCCAAATTGGCTGTTGAGCCCAAGTCTCCATGAATAAGAAACTGTTTGTTGTAAAGTAGCAAAGATGAGGAAATCTGAACATAATAACTTTTGTCTACTTAAAGACAATAAAAAGTCCAGTCTTTCCTTAACCATATTAAAAATATTATTGATAGAGAAATATATATGAGATCACTGGTTTTAGTCCTGGTTTAGACCTGGTTTAGACCTACTTTAGTCCTAGTTTAGTCCTGGAATGGATTAATCTGGTTATCCTGGTGTTAGTCCTGGTGTTAGTCCTGGTGTTAGTCCTGGTTTAGTCCTGGTTTTAGTTCTGGCTTTAGTTCTGGTTTTAGTTCTGGTTTAGACCTGGTTTAGACCTGGTTTAGACCTGGTTTAGACCTGGTTTTAGTCCTGGTTTTAGTCCTGGTTTAGTCCTGGTTTAGACCTGGTTTAGACCTGGTTTTAGTCTTGGTGTTAGTTCTGGTTTAGAGGCGCACAGGAGGAAGCGCGGTTTACGCAGCGTACGCGAGAAAACACGATCCACACGCGACTCACGGGAGGACAGTGATGTCCGCGCAGTGTCTACGGAAGGAAACGTGGTCCGCGCGTTCTCAGGGTAATGACGATGATGAAGGTGTGTGTTTGTGTGTGTGTGTGTGTGTTTGTGTGTGTTTGTGTGCGTGTCCCCTCATGTGGCAGGTCACTATAGGACAGTAGTGCAGAGATCATGAGCCTATGCAGGTTGTTTTCAGGCGATATTATATTTGTTATTTTCTTTTATATTTCACGTCGGGAGAATAATTTCCAAGACACGAATGTGTTTTTACCTGTGCACTGCTGCCTCTGTTCTACCGGCTCTTCGACCTCGTCCATTGTGCGACTGACGCCGCCAACGTTAACATGACGTTTACTTACGCTGTTACTGCGCGCGTTTTGTGTGGCTTTCCGGCAATGAGTGGAATTACCGAAATAAAAAAATTTATAAATGTGTTTTGTGTGTGTGTGTGTTGTTGTCCCAACAACACATAAAAACAGGTTTTATAATAAAGAAACTCACATACAGAAACACTAAAGTTAGAGATTAAAAATGAGATTAACGCGATTAAAAAACATAACGCGCTAAATATGACTCTAATTAATTAATCGCAATTAACGCGATAATTTGACACCCCTAAATACAATATGCTTTTTTAAACAATGCCTTGAGGTTAAAGGTCATTATTATTTTATTTATGTATGTTTTGTTTTGCCATTAACAGTGTTTTACACTGATCGCAGTGGGAGGGTCACCAGTAACCCGCTGCTGGACCAGCTCCCCAGTTACCAGTCCCTACTGTACCGCAGGAAGTCATCGTCCAGTGGGTCCAAGCGCAGAGGCAGCTCTCGGGGACGGATGGGCTCCTCTGGCAGTGGGAAATGGACTGTGAATACTGTCAACAGACATGAGGACAACCAGAGGACTGAGCAAAGAGCTATTCGAGAGCTGCCCAAGAGCATGGACGAGAAACGCAGAGAAAAGTAATGTATTTCTCATTTGGAATCAGAGCTGCTAAAACCAAACCACAACATCCACACTGAGTTTGTGCCTGTAGAACTCAGCGTCTGGTGGAGGCTGGACAGCTGAGCAGCTGGAGCCAGTGGAGAGAGAGCACTCGGAGGTACCTGAAGAGGCTGAAGGAGGACACACACGAATGGATAAGCTCTCTGAAGCTCTGGAGAGGGGACATCCACGCCATTGAGGGTGAGAGAGCAGAGAAGCTTTCTACATGCACTGTTGTTGTCTTTTATATGTATAACTTAACTTAACATATTGCTTCACATTTTAGGGATGTTTGGAACTGGAATCTTGTCCTACTTTTCATTTTTACGTTTTCTGGTCCTGCTCAACTTCATCATTTTTTTGCTCATGTTCAGCTTTGTCATGCTGCCCCTCATCGTTGTCCCATACACTTCAGGAAACAAAACGTACAACCAGTATGTCGGTGAGGACTTACTTTATACTGTTTAAAAGTTTGTTTTTGTACTATAGTGAATATCTGTTACCTTCTTACAGGTAATGTATGTAGTGACTATCCTAGCAGTTCTCGCCGAGGCCTTGTCATTTTTCATGAGCATATAACAGATTTGCTCTCTGGAGGTGTAAGTTCATCTATCTTTTTGTTCACTTCAAGAAGTTCTAGGTTATGACTTTGTTACATTTACAGGGCTTTTTGGAACGGACTTACCTGTTCTATGGTTTTTATAAAGTGGATAAAATCTACTTTCCAAATTTCACTTATAATGTCCCACTTGCCTATTTATTGGTCACAATAGCCTATCTAATTCTTAGCCTCATCTGGATAGTCAAAAGGTAATTATATATGACAGAAATTAGTTTTTGATATTTGGAAAATATTCCTAATTACTATTTATCTTATTTCCTCAAGATCTGCTACAGGGTTTAAACGTAACTTGGTTCAAGATGAGGATCGGTTTCAAAGTTTTTGCAATAAAATATTTGCTGGATGGGATTTTTGCATCACCAACGAGAATGCTGCTCGGCTGAAGAGAAGTAGTCTCCTGTATGAGCTTAGGGTATGTATACAATATAGTTATGTGCAATTGAAGTACCAGTGTGTGCATTGCCAGAAATCATTTTGTGTTTTTAATTTACAGACAGACTTGGAGGAGGAGAGGATTAAGCAAAAAATTGCAGACCGCACCCAAAAAGAGAAATGTCGAATTTACCTTGTACGATTTATATTGAACTTGTTTGTAATTGCAGTACTTGCAGCCTGCTTCTATAGCATTTATTTAGCCACTACTTTCTCTCAGGAAGCCCAGTTGGATAATATAAAGGTATCATGTTTTTTCATTGTGAATAATTTGAAGTACATTTTTTTTGGTTTAATGTTGTTCTACTTTAAAACAGGAAAATTTCATTGTGGCCCTCATATATGAATATCTTCCCTCAATTGTCATCACACTGGCAAACTGTATCACTCCACTGCTATTCTCAGTCATAATAAACTTTGAGGACTATTCTCCAGCCTTTGAGATTCGCTTCACTCTCATGAGGTACTTCGATTATTTAATCCCACAGTGATTAATGACTGATGGATTACCTGTGGCATGTTATCATATTTGTTTGCAGGTGTGTCTTTATGCGTCTGACCAGTATTGGAGTGTTGCTATTCTCTCTATGGTCTCAGATCACTAAATGTGAAGAAGAGCCCTGCAGTTGTGGATACAACCATGTGCTTTATCCTGTAAATTGTGTATACATTAGATTCAGTTGTATTAACTAATTACATTTGGGTGTGTATGAACCAAAAACATTATTGCTGAATCTGGGTTATTTTGTTTTAGTGTTGGGAGACACGGGTGGGCCAGGAGATGTACAAACTTGCCATATTTGACTTCATTATCATTTTTGCCGTCACCATCTTTGTTGAATTTCCTCGAAAGTAAGTTTACACTAACAGGTTAACAGAAATGCAATCCTAACATAAAGCATAATTTCTTTCCTCGTTATTCTTTTCTAGGCTTATAGTGCAGCACTGTGACTGTGGGCTTGCTAAGTGGGTGGGACAGCAGGAGTTTGCAATCCCTCAAAATGTTTTGGAAATCGTTTATGGTCAGACAATCTGCTGGATCGGCACCTTCTATTGCCCGTTGCTACCTGCTGTCTGCACCATAAAATACTTCTTAATTTTCTACATCAAAAAGGTGAATTAATTTCCCAGAGGTCACATAATTTGGGAGGTTACTTTTACTAAACTAAATTATGCTTGTTAGCCCGTATTAAAGTGTGGAAATGAGATGTTCTGCTACTTTTTTCTAAGGTGTCACTTATGAACAACTGCCGCCCGGCCACGCGTCCATTCAGAGCATCAAGTTCCAACTTCTTTTTCCTTGGAGTTCTGCTAATAGGACTTGCTTTGGCTTGTCTGCCAGTCATTGTTAGTGTAGCACAGTAAGTAACTGAATAATCATATTTCATTATTAAAGTAGAAATTAATTATTTTCTTGATGTATGTATGAACATTGTTAATCTAATTTTATTTTACAGGATAAGCTGTTCAAAAGTATGTGGACCATTTGTTAGTTACAACACCTCCTGGGAAGTTCTTCCACATACAATATCCCAACTGCCCAATGAAGCTCAAACACTCCTGTATGCGATGTCATCAGAGGCCTTCGCTGTGTGTCTTTTTGTCTTTACTTGGTATGTTTTACAATGGCGAGTTAATAGTTAAACATCATCTACTATTACCTAATATCTGTTGTTCTTGTAGTTTGGCAATGTTCTATGTAATTGCACTGGCTGGAGCATATAAGAGAGTCATCACTCAACTGAGAGACCAGTTAGCAATGGTAAGTTAAAAACAAGTAAATGTGAACTGTATGTCTGACAACTTAAAAAATAAAAAATAAAAATCATGTTTCCAGGAGGGACGGGACAAGCGCTTCTTGATACAGAAACTATGCCAGGCTCAGCAGTCTTCACCTGTTAAAGGATCCAGCTCTCAGCCTCGTGTGACCCGGAGCCCCAGCTACCACACCAGCTTTGCTAATAACTTTAGTGAAGGACTTTTCCTGGCACATTCTCCTCCCAACTCCTCCACACACGTGTAAAGAAAGAGAAACACTAAAGGTTTACCACTATGCATTGTCGGGACAAGAATACTGTGATGACAATCCAAAACCTATAGCAAATTATATATTATTTGAGTTTTTTTTGTTCTGTTTTTTTATTTTTTTTTTTTAACAAAAAAAGTATAATATGTTTTTTTAGGGTTGTTTATTGTATCTGACATATCTTCCTTCTGAGAAGGATTTTAATTACTACTGACAAAAAACTACTCTACTTGTGCACATTTCTTTATTAACAGTACAACTACTGTTTATGCATGCTTCTGTTTTTATTATGTTCATGTTTTTAACTGTTACATCATATTCCCAGACCAGTTCGATCGTTTTTTGTTTTTTTAGTATTTTTGAGCTATTTAATACTGAAGTACAGATCTGTCGGGATATATTTTTTCTTTTAATGTTTTTTATATATATATATATATATATATAATATATATATATATATATATATATATATATATATATATATATATATGTATATATATATATATATATATATATATATATATATATATATATATATGTGTATATGTGTATATATATATATGTGTGTATATATATATATATATATATGTGTGTATAATATATATATGTGTGTATATATATATATATATATATGTATATATATATATATTATATATGTATATTATATATATGTATATATGTATATATATATATATATATATATATATATATATATATGTATATATATATATATATATATATATATATATATATATATATATATATATATATATATATATATATATATATATATATATATATATATATATATATAACAGGGGCATCTTTGGTACTCTTTAAGCTAAATAAATTGTGTATATTCAGTTTTGAGTCCGTCTTTTGTATCTTTTGGCTATAGAATAGATCCATCCTTCTGGCCTACATCGTGTCGCTCCTCTTCCAGAGCTGTAGAGGTCGCTGCGTTGCTGTGCTGCAGGCCGCTGTGACAGGCGGAAGCAGCGTGCGGGCGCTCTGCTCAGGCCAGTCTATAGACCAGTCATCCAAAATGTTCAGAATTACAATCCGCGCGGATATGGGGTCACTTTGGATCTTAATTGGCGTTATATATTCTCAGTTTTTAACCGCATCTTCTGATGACATTGTGGTTGCTTGTGGGGGGTTTGTGAAGTCCGACGTGGAGATCAACTATTCCCTAATCGAGGTGAGAGTGCAAATGTCCCGGAGAGCTAACGGCTAGCTCTGATATCCTGCCAAAATCTAAAGACAGTTTGAATGAAAAAACAACAGAAGGAAATGTTTTTTTGTTTTAGTTTACCAAACACATGTCTTAAAGACATTGTCTTTTATAATAGCCGTTTGTATTCATAATAGCCCTTTGACATAATGCACATATTTGCTTAATTCACATTTATGTTCAGTCATCATCATCCATACTGTATTGCAGACTTGGAGTCCAAAAAGATGCCACAGCAATGATAGAATGGATGAAAATAGACATGCCACTTTTTACAAAGAGCTAGATGATTAAAGAAGTAAAATGTGAAGTGTCTCATAAAATTGGACTAATAGATTAATGGATGGAAGACCCCTCAAAACTAATCCCTCCGTCACAGGAGCTCTAGGATTAACCATCTGACCACTTAGCGAAAACTGAGTAAAGTAATCTGTCTGGTTGTGAGACCTGTGTCTGATTAGACGTTTTTATTTAGAATGTGTAAATGACAATGCTTTGTTCATTCACAGATTAAATTATATACAAAACAAGGGTCCTTGAAGTATCAAACAGACTGTGCTCCAATCAATGGGTACTTCATGATCCCACTCTATGACAAGGTAAAATTATATTAATACAATTTTCTTTTCACAGATTCTCAATCTTGTCCATAAATAACCATTGTTTTTCTTTTCAATACAGGGGGATTTTGTTTTGAAGATTGAACCTCCACTTGGATGGAGCTTTGGTAAGACCCTAACATTGTAATTGCCCTTACTTAAATCAACGTATTGCAAATGATATACTATTTACCTATTGAATTGTTATTTTTTGTCCTTTCTTCAGAGCCCACTTATGTGGACCTTCACATAGATGGTGTGAATGACATCTGCACCAAAGAGGAAGACATCAACTTTGTTTTCACAGGTTTCTCTGTGTCTGGAACAGTAAGTTTCTGTATGTCTTAATTAAGTTAGGACTATTAACCTATAATGTACTCCTTTTTCCTATTTGATTTTATATGATTAGGTTTTGAGTAAAGGTCATCTGCTCGGTCCAGCAGCTGTGGAGGTCACTCTGTCTAGGACAGGAACAGGAGACCAGATACAGACTGTTGTTACACAGCCTGGGGGAAAGTAAGCAGTCCCTCTTCACTCATTCTGTTAATAATTTAACAATTTCCTCATGTTTTATTATTTATTTTTCTTTACAGATATACCTTTTTCAAAGTTCTTCCAGGAAGCTATGACATCACAGCCTCACACCCTTCATGGACACTTGACCAGGTGTGTTTTATTGCTATTTTGCTAGTTCATTTGTTTAATTGTAGCAGCAAATTTTTTATTGGTATTAACCTGCATAGACTATGATCCTTTGGCCATTTTCAGCACGGTCAACATAATTAAATAACTTTTATTAAACTTTTTTAAAATTTAAATCTTAATCATTTGGCAATTAGGGTAATAATGGCAGCATTTGTCTAAGCAAAAAATAATTTGTAGTTTACCTTTCACCTTACCACAATATTGCAAATGAATATTTTAGAAGTCAGGGATGTATCTTATATTACAGTACTTCATTACTTCAGTGCTGTTTAAGTAAATTAATGCTTTGTGTTCTCAAATAAAATAAAAAAAATCTAAAATTTTGCTTTTATACTCTCAGCTTTATTGGCTCTAATTATTGCATAAATCACTTTGAAATCACATTGAAAATGACAGATCTCTGGGTCCCCTTTACTCTTTTCCTTAAAAGTCAATCATCTACTTACCTGGCTTAGAGAAAGCGCTCCCTGTCACTTAGCAGCTTTATAACTAATGGTCCCCCGCAGTAATCAAACGTGGGCTGACAAAGCCATTTTTTCTACCTATGGTGCTAAACCTATTCCTGCTTTTTACAGAGTACAACATCAGTGCATGTTTCCAATGCCAATGCTCCAGCCTCTGGCCCTCTGGTGGTGGGAGGGTACGACGTCTCAGGGGAGGTCCGCAGTGATGGAGAGCCCATGAAAGAGGTCACCTTCCTGCTATACTCAGCCACTGTCAAGAAAGAGGTATTTTATATTTTTAGCAACAGAATTCAACTCCATTCAAAATGTTTTATAAACTTGTAAGATAAGGTCACAAGCAATATTATATGGGCATATTAACTAAATTGGCAAATATTGATTAAAACGTCAACATTTGACAAGGCACTGCTATGCTGAAAAGAACATGGTAAAGAGTAAATGATCACATTTTTATATAATACTTTATCACCTTCAAGGCACTCATCAAGAAACCACTCACCCAGTCACACACACATTCATACACTAGTCTATGAATGTAGAGTGTAGAGTGAGTGTAGAGTGTCAGGCACAATGATACAACAAGAGCGTTCATCTATGGGAGATGGAATTGCACCGCTAACGTGTGGGTCAGTGTATCTGACCACTTAACCAATTACATATTTTTTTGTCCTTAGCCTACTAAAGGTGTTATAGAAAACATTTTGTTATCTGTATCTTTTGACAAGTAGTGTATTAATGTTGCAACATTTATATTAAATTTTTTTTTTCTTCTTCTTCCAGGATATCAGTGGTTGCAACACGTCACCAGTGGTTGGGGCAGAGTCTTGGGACAGTTCACTAGTTTATCTGTGCAGTGCCTTGTCTAAGGAAGATGGCACTTTCACTTTCCCTTCACTGGCCAGTGGAGACTACACTGTGGTTTGTTGCTCAAAAAGATGTCTATCACCTGTTCTGTTAGACTTATATGCAAATTTTATGCATTCTGTATGTTGTGGTTTTAAGGTACCTTTCTACAGAGGAGAAAGGATTACATTTGATGTAGCTCCTTCGAAACTGAATTTCAAAGTTGAGCATAACAGTTTGAAGCTAGAGGTAAAATTTTAACTGCTTATTTAGCACCTTTTATTTCTACCAGACTTTTGAAAATCCTATTAAATGTATTCTGTCTGTTGAAAAGCCAATCTTCCGTGTGATGGGCTTCTCTGTGACTGGGAGAGTCTTAAACAGTGTTGCTGGGGAGGGTGTACCTGATGCTACGGTGTCCCTCAACAACCAAATTAAAGGTTACTATTTCTTAAACTACATTTGCATTTTCATGACTCATGAATTCAGTAACATCATGATGTGATGTTATTGAATGACATGACATGACATGATGTTATGATGTTATTGAAGTTTGTGTTGGTTTTCAGTCATAACAAAGGAGGATGGTTCTTTCCGACTTGAGAATATGACAGCTGGTACCTATACTATTCGTGTTAACAAGGACCTCATGTACTTTGAGCCAATTACAGTCAAGATTGCTCCGAACACACCTCAGCTTCCTGACATCATCACTGCAGGGTAAACACTTTCAATTATGTTAACATGCCACGATTTAATAACTACATACATACAGTGTACATTTTGTTCATACACATCTTTTTTCTCACCAGATTTAGCGTGTGTGGTCAAATTTCAGTCAGTCGCCTCCCGGAGGGCATGAAGCAACAAGGTCGCTATAAGGTCACTCTGACACAGCAAGGTCAAGACAGGAGCAGCCGCACCGTTGACACTGATCCTCTGGGGGGCTTCTGCTTTCAGGCCAAACCAGGAGATTACATTGTTCATGTAGGAGCAGACCTGCTTTAGAACTATTTAAACTACACTGTGTAACATCAGATTTACATAATTAATATTTCCATTGTGGACTTAGGTGTCACTCCCTGAGGCAGAGGTGAAAGCTGGCCTTGCTCTGCAGCCTCAGGCCCTGGCAGTCTCCCTGGTTGACCGGCCCCTCACAGACTTGCTGTTCACACAATTCATGGCCTCTGTCTCTGGAAAGGTCTACTGCTTAGGTAACATGAATAGTGGCTGTACAATAGACAGCAAATTGTATTTTATAAACTGCTGTTTGATGTTAGCACTTCAGCACCAAAAATGCTTAATTAAAATTTTTACTTGTCCTTCAGCTTCCTGTGATGATCTTGCGGTAACCCTTCAACCTGTAAGCCGTCAGGGGGAGAGAAGGAGTGTAGCTCTTTCAGGGAGCAATGAAAGTTCTTAGCTTCTCCTTTGACAACGTCCTGCCTGGAAAATATAAAGGTAACCAAAAGCGTGAATAGATTTTTACTGTAATGAGTTGGAGGAAATGCACATTGTTTAGCCAGCGTTTCAATGCCTGCTGTTAGTGCTACAATCTCGCTAAACAGTTCAATTCACACAGTCTGTTTGTTGAGTTTGCCTTCCAAGATGTTTCAGAGTTTCACACAACACTTTGAGATATTTTACAATTATGTTGCTGTTCTCATTCAGTGGGGATTGCTCATGAGGAGTGGTGTTGGAAGCACAAGTCTATGGAGGTGGAGGTTTTGGACTCAGATGTTCTTGGAGTGGAGTTCAGACAGATCGGTTACATCTTGCGCTGCTCTCTCTCACATGCCATTACCCTGGTCAGTATTAGAGAATTACGAAGTTGTACATTAAATGTTTTTTTATGCACATCTTTCTCTAGTATTTTGATTACTGTTTAGAATGAAGGTTGGCATATATTTATGTGATACAGATACCTAAAAATAAATTAGGGGTGGGCTTTATGCCAAAAGAAAATGTATTACCTTTCATGCTGTAACTATCTTTTTTATTTTCCATTAAAAGGTAGCAAAGTCCATGTGTTGCTTCTGAGCGTTCACACTTCCCTATGATTGGTTAAATCCGCCTGTCACTCACTCTGCATTAAAAAGAAAATCAGAGAATGACAGTCCAATCAAAATAGCATTTGAGTAGTACTGCATCCTAATGTGTATTTTTATAATTATTTGAAATGTAACTTTCAGGAGTTCTTCCAAGATGGAACTAAACCTGAGAATGTGGGCGTGTATAACCTCTCTAAAGGAGTCAACCGTTTCTGCCTGTCCAAGCCTGGTAAGGTTCATTTCCCTGACCTCTCATTAGCTGAACATAGAGAGAATTTGCATACAAAAAAAGGGATAATGCAAGTATACGGTTCCCATGTGCATAGTTAGAGAACAGCTCTAGAGCCAAAAGGTCTGTGTCAGGCTTACCTAAATATAAAACTGGAGCAAAGTAATTAATCAACTAAAAATGGCTTGTCCAGGTGTTTACAAAGTCACCCCTCGCTCATGCCACCAGTTTGAGCAGGACTTCTACACATATGATACGTAAGTGGGAGTAAATGCTTAGTGCATTAAAAATCTATATCTCTCGCCAGTTTCAAATGGGTTTTTTCTCTGCTTCCTACAGCTCAGCACCCAGCATTCTGACACTGACAGCTGTGCGCCATCACATGACTGGACTCATTACAACGGACAAACTCATGGATGTCACTGTGACAATCAAGTACGATCACACACAAAAACGCCATTACCCACTTCACTATGGGCATTTTTTTTTTTTAAGAAGTGTGTAATTATCCAAATTTAATAACTGCTTGAATAACAAGTATCAAAAACTTATGACTATCTGCCTTATAGCACCACCTGCCTGCCTTTGAACAGTTTTCAATTTTCAAATGCTTTTGTTTAAACATAATGCTTATCTAAGGTAGTTAGATTGATATCTGAATCCTTAGATGGGTCTCTTTTTTAACTATCTGTGGTCATAATGTGGTTTACGTTTTATACTGAAATGCCTTCTCTGTATTGTTTTCTTACTTTACTGAAATGTTTTTATACAGCTTGTAAATGTCTCTTTTATTTGTCAGGTCATCTATAGAGAGTGAGCCAGCTCTTGTGTTGGGACCTCTGCGCAGTTTGGAGGAGCAGAGACAAGAGCAACAGCTGCAGGAGATCCAGCTGCGTCGTCAGGAGCGGGAGCGCCGAGCAGCCGAGGAGGAGGGAGGGGCTAAAGATGACAGCCCCCCCATACAGGAGAAAGCAGATGAACTAACCGGTCCATTCCATTATGAGTTCTCTTATTGGGCAAGGTTGGTTCCCAACCCCCTATTTGAAACTATATAAAGAAAATTTGCTAACTAAAACATATCTCTTTGTTGCCCTAAAGGGCTGGAGAGAAAATTACAGTGACTCCATCTTCAAAGGAGCTGCTCTTCTACCCCCCAGAGGTAGAGGCCACTATAACTGGAGGTAAATTAGACTCGTGTGTGTACAGTGTGTAATCCTATGGAAACACTTGCTTCCAATCATGGATATATGTATGGATGGATATATATGTATTTCTTAAGATTAAGAACTTACAAATTATTTTTTATAGTAAATTTAAGTGGAATATTGACATGTTCTAAGCTTACACAGTCAGTCTAAACCACACTTAAATTGTATACCTTTTATTGTTTTCTACATAACTGTTCTCAACCCTTGTGTCTCTTTGACCTGTTGTTTGTCCAGAGTCATGCCCTGGCCGTTTGGTGGATATCTCGGGTCGGGCAGGGCTTTTCTTGGAAGGCAAAGTGTCACCTGAATTGCAGGGGGTTGAGATTTCAATCACAGAAAGAGGAGCCACCGTGCCACTCATCACCGTGGCTACCAATGAAAATGGAGCGTACAGGTTTGTGTTAAAAAAGTAGACTGTAGTAGTGCAGTCTTTTCCAAATAACATTTAGAACCGCTCCACTGTTACTCACTATCTTTGTACTAAAAACTTGCTATCATGGACTTTTGATTTTACTATATCCATACAGCTTTCCAAAAAGTCAATGATAAACTTTTTCAGTATATTGTACGTTCTACTTAAATCATAAATGTCTTGTTCCAGTGTGGGCCCACTGCACAGTGACCGTGAGTATGACATCACCGCCAGTAAAGAGGGTTTTGTCCTGAGTCCTGTGGAGGGAACCCAGGGAGACTTTAAGGCATTTGCTCTAGCAGGAGTCACCTTTAAGGTAAATATACTTTCTAATCCAATGCACTTCACATAATTTTAATCATCGCATAACATTTCTTTATATAAATTATGCTTTAATTTCCTCTCTGTTATCATCCTTTGTTTACACTGCTCTTTTTCGTTGAATTAATGTGACTTGACACAATAAAAGCTCTTGATGGCACTTTCTTTATTATTTTACAAACATGAATTACAGTGCAACTCTAATGAAAAATAGCCCATTTTATTTTTGTCATGTGCTGTTTAGAGTTTCTTTGTTGTTTCTTTGTTAAAAGGGTTGGTAATCATCCTCAGCCCTCATTACATCTTGACACCACTAATTTTAATGTTAGTTTTCCTTTTGACATGTTGATATGAGGAAAGCACTTTGTGAGCCTTTGTTTGTTCCTTGCACTTTAGACTGATGCCTTTTTAAATGTTTGTTGACTGAAGACTTATTGTTTGATTGTATCCTTTGATATTTTCTATTTCTACTTTCTACTTCTTCTAGATCCAGTCAGAAGATGGTTTGCCTTTATCTGGCGTCCTGCTGTCTCTGAGTGGAGGACAGTTTCGGTCAAATCTATTGACCCAGGACACCGGTCTCCTAACCTTTAATAACCTGGTAGGGCCAAGTGACCTCCCTGCTTACCTAAAAATACATTAATCTATTTTGAGTTTTTGTTCTCATTTTGGTTTTACCCAGTGTCTTGTTCTTGTCAATAGAGTCCTGGTCAGTACTACTTCAAACCCATGATGAAGGAGTTTCGATTTGAGCCAGCTTCTCAGATGATCACAGTAGAAGAAGGTCAAAGCCTAAGCATCAATATCATTGGCATTAAGACTGCTTACAGGTAAATTACTTATTAATTAATTACCTTTGGATCTATTTAACTACAATACTGTTATGTGTCCAGCTGTTATGGAGCTGTGCAGTCTTTGAGTGGAGATGCAGAGAGAGATGTGGCAGTGGAGGCTGTGGGACAGGGCGACTGCAGCCTCTACAGTGAAGACACGGTCACTGATGAAGAGGGGCGCTTCAGACTCCGTGGACTGCTGGTGAGAAGCATAATAACTTTATATGACCAAAAAGAGTTATTTTGTTTTATTCATAATCTATAATGGATGTAAGGATGGAGGTGTTGGGCTAAATTAACCTAAACTGTCTCGTTCGTCCTTAGCCGGGCTGCAAGTATCTCATCCAGTTAAGAGCAGAAGGCAATGACCACATTGAGAGAGCGCTGCCTCAGCACAGAGCAATCGAGGTAAACGATATTAAAAGTTTCTTTTGCTAAAAAACAAGGGTAATTTCTCTCTTCACAGCGCACAAATGAACACCATAGACTTCAAATGAAACATTCATTGTCCTTGTATTTGTAGAGGTTGTTCTTTGTAAAATGCTCTGCTGTGGCAGAGTGGTTAAATCCCTCAGAGAGGCATGGGGAGCTTTGTAATTGAATTGTTATAGTGACTGTGTGAACCCTGTGATTATGACTTATCAACAGCCTTATCACATGAGTTTCCTTTCATACACAGAACAAAGCACAGATAATCCCGTTGCAAGGTTTAACCTCTCACTTCATAATTTGCCTCGTCGAAAAAGTGCAGGCCCCTAATCTTTTCAGTGCAACTGAAAAAATGCCTTAATTCCACTTAATTCCCTGTTATTATCACACTTTGTGACCTGGAGCCTTGTTTCCTATTAACTTTAAAAACTCTGTTTTCCACTAAGGTTGGCAGCCATGACATTGAAGGGGTCAACATTATTGCCTTCAGACAAATCAATCAGTTTGACCTCAGTGGAAATATAATCACGTCTCCTGAACATCTCCCCACACTTTCGGTAAAACTAATTTAGTTTTTAGCTCAGTCATTAGTGTTTTATTGTTCTTAAAATGTAACCTGTTAATTTTATATCAAGGTAAAACTGTATAAGAGCGACAACCTGGACAATCCAATCAACAGTGTCTCTTTGGGACAGTCTCTCTTCTTCCATTTCCCTCCCCTGGACAGAGATGGAGAGGTATACTTCTGCTGGAGCTGTATTTTTAGTGTGTTGTGTTGACTCTGTTCACACCTCTGTGTTCTTTTGCCTGCAGAACTATGTGCTGATGTTGTACTCCACACTGTCACGCTCCCAGTACGACTTTACACTGCCCCAGGTGTCTTTCACCTCTACTGGGTACCACAAGCACGTCACCCTCACCTTCAATCCTACTGTAAGCTTTTTACATTGAAAATTATACCAAAACTAATATTAGGAAATCTAGTGTTCTTGATGTATTTATTCTGTTACAGCGTAAAGTGCCTGACCAAGACGTCGCCCAAGGCTCCTACATTGCTCTACCCCTGACTCTGCTACTTCTGTTAGCAGCATATAATCATGAAAGGGTACTTGTTATTCAGCATTTCTCAGTAATCGATTATGTTGTTCATACATTGTCAAAAAGAGAAAAATAATCACTAAATATATGCATTCAATAACTTACCTCCCTCAGGTCATCCCACTCCTGCTGCAGTTGGTGAGCCGCATTCAGGGAGTGAGGAGCATGGCCCAGACCAGTGTAGACAGCGCCACAATGGACGAAGCCAAACGACAAGCAAAAAGACCAAAATCTAGGCGCACTTGATTACAACCATGGAAACCTCAGTACACATCTCTAGAGTTATTGATTTCACTATCACAGATTAACCAGTAGTTGTTAATGGGTGATAATGAACTAACCAGGCCAAAGCTGCAGAGGTGGCAATGGGTTTTCTTGAGTTGAAAGTCTGTTTTCTTTCTGATGAAGCTTTGAACATTTTTACCACACCCTCATCAGCCAAACCTTTGTGTTAATTTTTGTTAAAAGACTGTTGCTGATACTTGAGCCATTATGAGACATATTTTTAAAGTCAAAAACATCCATGGAAGCACTTGTTGATTCTTTACTAGTCTTATAACATTGTTTAGATGTCACCTGTTAGCAGGTCACCATTTCATATTCAGGGCACTAAAATCATTTAAAACTTCATTGAATTGATGAATTCATGGCCAGCCTAAAAAGATCAGCCACCTTCAGGCTCATGTCTGTAAAAAATAGCCAATTGTTACTGTAATCCACTCCACTTTTTCGATATAAGCTGTTATGGGGTGACACAAAAGGTTGGCTTTTCATCTCCATTTAGCTCAGGAAAGATGGATGAATGCATGGTGGCTGATTACTGTGTGAGTTAAGATTTTGATTTACTGGGGGTAGAAGATACATATATACTAATAGTGTGCAAAGGCTTTTAGATCTGAAGGGGTTATACTTATTGTTCCTGATAATTTGCAAATATACCGTTCAGTAACTAATATTAACAAAGATAATTTATTACAAAGCTTTCAATTTGCATTAACATTAGATTTTTTGATTCTGCATAGTACTGTACAGATAGGACATACTAATAATTTATTAATTTTCTAATTCATTTTGTGCAAATTTTTGGATACTGTCTTGTTTGTATAGTGGATTTTTGACTATGTGTCTTGAGCTGTTTTATTGGAGAATGATTAGTTTTGTCTAAGTGACAAAGCAGAAATAATTGATTTAATAGTTTTTTTCCCTGAATGTGGCACTGTGAAATGAATGGACCCCAATTACTTTTTGTATTAAATTCATGTGTTTTCATTTGTGGAAGACTTTCAAAGTGAAATGAGACGGACACTGATTATTGTCTGAGACTATAGTTATTGACTAAGATGATCCCCATTTGATCCGGGTTGGGTAGGGGTGAGAGGTCTTTGCATTTTAGTCAAAATATTTTCATTTTTTAGATGTTGAATAAAACGTTGAAGGAAGTCCTATTGTCTTTAATGGATTTGCCTGTAGGGGGCAGTGCAACGTTTGGGATAAATGCCTACATAGATGCAATGTTGTTTAGAAGCAACAATATACAATTAACGATGCATACAAAATACAGTTATATCATAATTTTCATTCTTACTGGTAAACATGTGATAATTACTTACAGAAAAAATACCCACATCACTAATCTAACATCTGATGTAATGCAACCATTGTGTGTGTCTTTTTGAGTGACTAAAATTGTAGTGCCTGTATGACACAGTGAGGGAAAAAAAAACATTTGGATCAGCGCTTTTTGGTTTCTTACTACTCTATACATGTACATTTCATATGTAAGTTAGACTCACATACTTTTTCTCGCCTTCTTTGTGAAATTTGAGATTTTCTGCTATAACTGGCCTCCCTATAGGGATCATTATCATGTAACGACATGATTATTTTTGCTGAAACACCAGTAATACATCTAATGTGATAGCTGGGTCTGACAGCTTTCACATGCTGTTAATATGTGGTAAGGGAAACCACAGATTTAGAATGCATGAATGTATGCATAATTGCATAAAATCCTTTAACACTGGGTTGTGAGCAAAGTGTATATTCATGTATCATACAGGTCAACTGAAGCTCTTGCAAAGCTCTTGCAATGTATTTTGTTCTGTTCCTGAATAAATGCAGAAAATTATCTATGAGATAGAGATTGACACTCCAAGGGCAATGTTGCCTACTAATAGACAAGACTATGATTATTGTTAAATGTATGGGAGAAACAGATTTGGAAGAAGGCACAGGGGGGTGCTGTGATAAATTGTATTTTTTGGTTTAACTTGTTGAAACATAACTGCAGACATTCTTCTTGAGGGGTTGGGAATGGTACAAAAAGTTAAATCGTCAAAGATCAATCCAACAGAACCGTATTTAATCAGAAAAAAAAAAGTTTTACATGTTAAAAAAGCAACATTTTCTTCCCATCCAGCTTCCAGATCCTCCTCACACTCTCCTTTCACCATCCAAGCCCCCACATGTGAAAAAAAAGTAAAAAAAAAAAAAAATGTCATGTCTTACATACAAACATGGCTAGGTTAGGTAAAGCTTTTATTAATTATTTTTTTTTCTTTCTTTTTTTTTTTTAAATTCTTATAGCTTTCTGTATGTGTTTTACCTAACATAACCCTCCTCTCTTCATGTCACCCCACACTGTAGTGGCGTGCCGGCCAGCCTGAGTCACCCCCAGCAGTCGTAATGCATTGGCCGGGACAGCAGTCATCATCGCACAGAGGGAGGGTGAGGCGGGGGACCTTCTGTGCCACATTAATACCAGTGGCTTGATGAGAAGGCTGGAGCGGAGGAAAGAGGAATTAAATATTCATAGGGAATGATGACAAGATGGGCAGCAGTGGTGAAGATGATGTGTAATAATATCTACTGCAGCTTTTGTGGGCGCTCCAGTGGCTGTGTATGGAGATAGACCCAGACGGACTCAGAGTGCCACTTTCTATCAGGCCAAGAGGTGTGTCAAGTCACCCTTTTATGAAACCCCAAACCTACTTACAGTTGACTCAGTGTGGCGAGGGCTGAGGCTCCTGCTCTAAATGTAATCACAGAGAGCATAGAAGGTCGGACAGGTTTTGGAATTTATACAGTTGTAGGCAATTTATATATCCACAAGGCTTATTGAATCGGACATTCAAGTTCATAATATGGTTTAGTTTAAGGCCATGACCAGAAGGTAGGGTGTCATTTTGGCCCACAATCTCAGGTGGCACAAAATGAATGGTAAAGGACTTAGAAAAAGATAGACCTTGGTTAGTTTGAATTTCTATCAACAAGTAAGTTATGGGTTCAGTTCTAAGGGCAGGGAATTACAAGGCTTAGTTTGCATGTGTTGGTGATCTGGTTAAAGTGATACTGCTCTGGCTGTTTGTAAGTCTATAACACGATGTAGTGATAGACTCTGATCTTAAAGGGGAAATATTATGTAAAACTTTATTTACCTTAACTGTATTCCCTCATTATTAGCTCTGTTCACTTAGCCCCCTAACTCCGCCCACTGATCTGTACTTACTCATACTGTATTTATTTATTTATTTAATGTATTATTAATTATATTTATTTATTCTGAATAGCCTCTTCAGAGGCATCCTCTCCTTTTTAAGGGTGTCCATTCAGTTAATAAAAAATAAAATCCTGGGTCACATTTGTAGGGTTCAAAAATCTGCTGCTTGCTACAGTGAAATCATTGTGTGAAATACTATTGTGACAGGGTGGGCTGTATCAGTCAGTGGACCTGTTTCTATTAGCAAGCCATTTTAGATCAACACTGCTGTTTACAATGAACAAAATGTAAAATCTATGTATGTTATAGTTTAATACATAATAGTTGGAAAATGCATTTACTGTAATAAATATTTACCATTAAGAAGTTCAAACTAGCTGCTTATCATGCTGCCCCTCTTTATCATTCCTCAGTGCAAAGTGCCTTTTACTGGTAAGTGCCTTGTAAAATCCACCATTATTTCCTTGTCCTTGCTCCTCTCTCTGGGCTACAGTGTCGGTCAAAGCTCTTTCTGCTCAGATTTGTCTCGGACACTAAGGACACTTCCACTGCACTGTGAGCTCCTGTACTTAGCTCCCAGAGGTGCAAGGTTGAGCCCCACACCAACTCTGTCTTCTAATCCTCTGACTGTAAGAAATCTCTATGAGCACACTGGTCAGGCTACTGCCTGTCCCGTGTTCTCAAAGCATTTCTGGACTGGTGGGGTCACTCTTGTGGCTGTATCACCCGGGCCAGTGATGGGATTAAGTAAATGAACCAAAATTTTAAGTATTGATTATTATTTCATCAAAAAGTAAAAAAAAATAAATAAAAAAATGTAATAAAAAAAGTAAAATTAATCCTGTGACATAGCAATATTTCCAGATAATTAATAATAACGCCTCAGACTGAGAGAATACTGCCCTTTACAAGTTCCCACACAGTGAGCTACATACTTTACTATGTATCCACAGCTACCCTGCGGCCGATTACAAAAGTAACAACAATGATAACAAGCATGCCCTGTTCAGATTAGGGATTAAATTGGCAATTTTCAAATTATAACTTTCACAGTTAAAAGATAAATCACTTTGTTCCCATGCAGTAATCACATAAAGGCTTTGGTGCATACTAAAGTTACATATACATATATACACACACACACACGCACACACACAAACACACACACATACATATATATATATATATATATATATATATATATATATATATATATATATATATATATATATATATTTTTTTTAGTATGCACCAAAGCCTTTATGTGATAATATGTATAATATCATATGTATCTGGAGAGTAATGTAAAATATCCTACTACTACTCTCTAACCCCAGACTACTTTCCATTCACTAGGTCTCCACAGTTAGCGCCCTGTTGGCTTTTGGAGATTTCAGTTGGCAGACATTGTGATAAAAGGACTGCCATCATGGTTCTAAAATGGACTCTTTCTCTCAGTCTATCCATTTCATTTTGTCCCGTATCTCACTGTCCTCTCTCATTGCTCTCCTCAGTGCACGGTTCCGATACACTGGTGCTGGAGTCTATACTGTCATCTGTATGGTCACCAGAGCCTGACCAAAGAGGAGGAGAGACGAACAATGTTTTGTGTGTGTGTGTGTAGATGTGGGAAGTTCATCACTACTGAGCTGTCCTTGAGCAAAGTCAAGAAAAGAAAGAAAAGGTTGCCAACAAAATGGCTTTTTCTGTGAAGTCTGATGAGGGAATCAACATGGTATTTCACAATGTGGGCTACAGAATCAGTAAATTATGTGATGCAAGTAATAATAATAGTGAGTAATAGTAGGATTGCACTTTAAAAACAAGGAATATTCCAAAGATTTTCATTGGTGTATGAGTCAAAAAAGGTTTATTGTTTTTATACCAGATGCCCTTCCTGTTTGAATGCATTTCCAATGTTTTGCTACTGCATTCCATTTCTTACCTCTAAGGCAAAATGTGAAAATCTTATACCTATTTTGATATGATGTTAATGTGAAAGTCTACTCCTCTTTTTTAATAAATTAGTGTATATGTCATTTTGGCTACACAGATCCATATGCAAACAAAGCTAATGAAACCAATTAAAGATTCATAATGTTATCCCACATACCTTCAAGCTATATTGGGTGGAATTCAGCAATGCAGTAATACTGAATGGTAAATTGTTTTGTGTTTAATTTATTCATGATTCAGACATTTTTCTGGATTCAACATATACACTGCTGTCACAATAATTATTTTTTACACTGACCTATGGATATGTATCTCTAAAAATATAGGGAAGAAACGGAGACAGATATAGGCTTATTCTTCAGATGTGCCCAATGTTGTTATCCTGAATCAAAAAGCCTATAATTCTTTTTTATTAATTGATAACTTGCAAATTGATGGCACTGCAAGACAGGGCAAGGCAAGTTTATTTGTATAGTACAATTCATACACAAAGTAATTCAGAGTGCTTTACAAAATAAGACATAAAAATCACAATACACACAAATCAAAACATAAATAATCATCATAAAATTAATATTAAAAGAGAAGAGAGAAGAATGCAGAATAAAAACCTTTCAGTCATAGCTAAAAATAACCATTTTGAGCCTGAATATAAACATAGTCCAAGCAGAGGCCCGTCTCATATCTTCAGGAAGACTGTTCTAGGTTTTAGATGGATAAAACTGAAACACTGATTCTTCATATTCCCCAGCAAATGATCAGAAAAGCTCTCCTCCTCAAGGCCCATTGGTTAGTCAGAGGACACAAGAGTGGCACAGAGGGAATCATGGAAGCAGGTGCAATAAATGGTCAGATTTTATATCCTACTTTTACAGCTTGCTTCATCAACAAAATGCTAAAGGACTAAAATAAGAAGCTGTTAAAGGTCTGTCCAACATGCATTTTCAATTTGCATGTGGAAGAAGTATCTGGATCACCTTTTTT